AACAACTGCTTCTAGGTCCAGGTACAGATTTCTCAGAAGTACAGTTTAAGTGTTCTGGAATACTCATACTTCTCAATGTTGTCCATAGCTTGTCATGATCCACACAATCGAAAGCCTTTGCGTAGTCAATAAGGCATAGGTAAACATCCTTCTGATATTCTCTGCTTTCAGCCAAGATCCATCCGACATCAGCAATGATATCTGTCGTTCCACGGCCTCTTCTGAATCCAGCTTGAACCTCTGGAAGTTCTCTGTATTACCTTGGGCAAAACTTTACTTGCTTGAGATATCAAAGAGATTGTCCAATGATTTCCGCATTCCGTTGGGTCACCTCTCTTTGGAATGGGCACAATGATGATAGTAACGATAATCTGCATAGTGAAGAGACAACATTGTGAAAATAACTTTAAAGTGCACAAGGTTTTAATAGATATTTAATATCTGAATTTGCATTGTTTTAATCTGATGAATTAATTTGGCACACAATGTTGTAACACACAATTTAAGAGGTGGAAAAAACATAAAATAAACTCCAACTCTAATGATTTAGCTTATATTATTCATCACTAAACTGACTAAAGTAAATAATATGACATACCGCTATGTTTTTATGAAGACTGAAAATATTCAAGTATCTGAGAAATTACCATTTTTTTATGTGTTAGACAGAAGTGTATAAAAGTTTATATGTTAGCATCTTGAAATGCTGACAAGGAACCTTTTTGGGGGGTAAGAAAAAGCTGAATGGTAATCTTTACTTATAAAAATGAATAAGAGAGTCCTGGAGTCAAAGCCGGTTTCGGTTCCATTTTTACTGCAGCACGCCGTCTCTTCCTCCTCTTTCAACATGACAGATGCCGCTGTGTCCTTCGCCAAGGACTTCCTTGCAGGTGGAGTGGCCGCGGCCATCTCCAAGACCGCGGTAGCACCCTTCGAACGGGTCAAGCTGCTGCTGCAGGTGCAGCATGCCAGCAAGCAAATCACCGCAGATAAGCAGTACAAGGGCATTATTGATTGTGTGGTTCGGATCCCCAAGGAGCAGGGAGTCCTGTCCTTCTGGCGTGGTAACCTGGCCAATGTCATCAGATACTTCCCCACCCAAGCTCTCAACTTTGCCTTCAAAGATAAATACAAGCAGATCTTCCTGGGTGGTGTGGACAAGAGGACCCAGTTTTGGCGCTACTTTGCCGGGAATCTGGCATCCGGTGGTGCTGCTGGGGCGACATCCTTTTGCTTCGTGTACCCTCTTGATTTAGCCCGTACCCGTCTAGCAGCTGATGTGGGGAAAGCTGGTGCCGAAAGAGAGTTCAAAGGCCTTGGTGACTGCCTGCTTAAGATCTCCAAGTCTGATGGGATTAAGGGTCTGTACCAAGGCTTTAATGTGTCTGTGCAAGGCATTATCATCTACCGGGCTGCCTACTTCGGTATCTATGACACTGTAAAGGGAATGCTTCCAGATCCCAAGAATATTCACATCTTTGTGAGCTGGATGATCGCTCATTCCGTCATGGCTGTGGCTGGGTTGACTTCCTACCCATTCGACACTGTTCGTCGTCGCATGATGATGCAGTCAGGGCTGAAAGGAACTGATATCATGTACACAGGCACGGTTGACTGCTGGAGGAAGATTGCATGTGACGAAGGAGGCAAAGCTTTTTTCAAGGGTGCATGGTCCAATGTGTTCAGAGGCATGGGTGGCGCTTTTGTGCTTGTGTTGTATGATGAAATCAAGAAGTACACATAAGTTCTTTCCTAGTTTGTTTTCCCCTGTGAATGGGCATGTTGTATTATAGAACACATCTTGAGCATTCTTGACAGGCTGTTGGCTGTCTATAACCATGGCAACTATCTACTGGTTGAAAATGGGAAGCAAAAATATTCATGTGACCACTTTTCTCTTAAAGCCATTTCCATGATGATACTGATGATGATGATGATGATGATGATGATGATGGGACTCAATTCTATTTTGTATTTCAGTCACTCCTAATAAAGAAAAATTTGAAGGAATAAAAAGATCTGAAACACACACACACACACACAAAGAATAAGAAATAAGGGCCTTAAAATTAAAATCTGATCATACTAGAATACATTTTTAGAGTCAAGCAGCCTTAGAAATAATCTAATCAAATCACTTTCCTAATAAAGAACCCGAATCCTGAGAAAGTAACCAAGTTCTCTAAGAAAACAATGGTTTGCCATAGTCAAAACTAGAACCAACTCAGCAATTCCTTGACAAGTGTGCTTTCCACTAAACCTGGCTGTGGTTTAGACATTATGCTCACTGGGGATGCATTTTAAACACTATGTAATGATGGCTTTTGCTAGAGAATTCAATCTACAGAGAAGTTGTGAATCCTTGGCTTAGTTTGTAGGCTAGAATGGCAATTATGACATCTCTACATCACCATTCATATGGGATATATGATGTTTTTGTTGTCACTTAATAAAGATAAATGGAGAACGAGATGTTTATTACTGCTGTTGAGTCAGTTCCAGGGTTTCTAGGGCTGTAAATCTTTATGGGAGCAGAAAGCCTCATTTTTCTTCAATGGACAAGCTGGTGGATATGAACTTCTGACTTTGTGATTAACAGCCTAATGTGTAACCCACCACACCTAAATACTTCGGTTTCAGCATTTCCCCCATTCTCTTTACTTTTATTATAGTGATCACTTTCTTTCACTCTGCCATTTTACTTTAATTGTCAGTTTGTATATAAGAGTTTATATAAAATTTTTGTTCATAAGATTATTTGCTCAGTCAATAAGATTTTATTAAGCATTTATTATTGATTTGGGTGGTACAAATAATTAATGCATATGGACATTCAAGTCTACCCCTGAGGCACCTTGGAAAAAAGACCTGACGATCTATTTTTGAAAAATCTGTCATTGAAAACTCTATAAAGCATAATTGTACTCTGGCATACATGGGGTGTTGTTGTTGTTAAGTGCCATCAAGTTGATTCTGACCCATAGTGACCCTGTATAGGGTTTCCGAGGAGCAGCTGGTGAGCTTGAGCTGCTGACCTTTCAAGCATTTGCAGTCTGATGCATTAACTCACAGTGCCACACCGGGACTCCTATACATGGGGTACCATGAGTCTAAATCAACTTGTTTCCAAATAGTTTTAGATTTATTGACCAGAACCTGTGCTAGGCACTGAGGTTCTAAAATGTAGAACTATGACCTACTTGTGGAGTGTATTTTGTATTAAAAGTGACCATTGCATATTCTTTAAAACACATTTTCAACAAACATTAACTCTAGGTGGTCATTTGGTTAAAAGGCACAATGAGCTAAAGTGAGGTAACAACAGAGAAGTATTGAATGGCTGGTCAAAATGATAGCCATCAATTATTCAAAAGATGCATGAAAATCTGAAATAATTGCTGAAAGAATTGACCTGGTATCATTGGGTGCTCAACTGAGGAAGGAAACTGAAACCAGAAGGAAGTTGATAGTTTGAGTTGCAAGGCTGGTGGTTCAAGCTCACCAGCCACTCTTCAGAAACCCTAATCAGGGTCGCTATGATGACTCAATGGCACGTAACAACAACACAGAAGATTGTATGTCTGACATAAACTGGCCAATTCCAATATATTTCAACTTATTAGTACCTAGGATATATCTATCTTTATGCTTTACATTTCATTTTTTATGGCTTTGAAAATTTTGATTCATATTCTGCACAGTCTGTGTCCAAATTTTAATGGATGTTTATAGCTAGCTAATAAAGTCCTTGAAAACTTTATTGTACCCACACCATTAAGATCAACTCAACTTCTGGAGGAAGCTCTTCCCCAGTGGTAGTTTGAGTGTGTTTCAACCCTAGGGGTTATCCATAAGGTTTCCATTGTCCAAATTTTTATAAGTAATTCTCCATGAAACATGTTCACCGTGGATAACTATGTTGGTCATATAATTTCCAGACTCACAGCAAATAACTTACCAGAGTACAACAAACTGACTAACAAGTGGTGGGAAGATTGAATAGCTGGAGATATTGTCATCATGATTTCAAATCCAATGTAGCAATACTATTTCATATACAATTACAATATAATTTAATATACAGGGTTGTTATGAATCCAACTGACTTGACAGCACTTAACAAAAACAACAACAAAAAATTCTGATTTTCTAGGGAATTTGATTTTATTATCAATATAATAAAATCTAAAAGACAAAAGCAATGCTCAGATGGTTATGCAGAGGGAGCCCCTGCTTCGTATTTGCAAAGCATATCCATTTACTTGTAACTTCAGCATATTTTGGTTGAATGAAAGCCAGTTATTTTACCATACTCATACTATTCTATATTTAAATGCAGTGAAACTGCATTTTGATTTTGATTCCAGTTTTACTATAGTTTTCTTGAAAAAGTATATAATGGTTAATTCAAGAGAAATGCTGACATAAAAATTGAATACGCAGACTGTTTCCACAACAAAGAAAGTTAAATTATTTTCTGAGCAATTACAGGAATCCAATGTTACTGTTAAGATGTTGACCCTTTTATACTGGGTGTGTATAATGTTTACGTATATAGAGAAATACAGTAATCTCACCAATGGACAGGTCCATCTTATCAGCTATATAATTGAAACAATACAGACAGGTCAGTCTTCACACAACAGGTACATTCTTACTTTACTTATTTTCTTTATACCTACTGGTTTTAAAGTTCATGAAACCAGAGTATTTCTTAAACATGTCCACTGAGCAGTATATCATAGATTTAACCTTTCTATTCAAAGAAAAATAAAACTGGAGCTTTTATATTATATAAAGCACATTCTGCAAAATAAAGGGAAAAAAAGAAAACTGTTCAGAGAAAGGTTTATTGTAAAGGTTGTTGTTGTTGTTATGTGCTATGGAGTCAGTTCTGACTCAGAGTGACCCTGTACAGGGTTTCCGAGGCTGTGAATCTTTATGGGAGCAAAACGCCTCATCTTTCTCCAGTGGAACAGCTGGTAGTTTCGAACTGCTGACCTTGCAGTTCGCAGCTTAATTCATAATCACTTAATTAGTAAGGAAATGCATCTTTTCACTCAGCTTGTTAACCTCCACATTCCAGAAGCTTAACTTCATGAAGTGAAAGAAATGAAGGTACACACCAAACAGGAACATAATATGATGAATTCAATCATTCCCCTTTACCATAGCTCTTTGGATTACATTAAGTATATTGCTTGTCACCACATAAAGCACTTTAAATAAACTGCAGCACCTTCTCCTGCTTCATATGCTTTTATAGTGCTATTAATGAATTACCTTTCTGAAAAGTTAAATGCATTTTAAAAGTTTTATATGCTGCATTTATAATAAATCTTTTGGTACACTGAAAAGTATGTGCAGGTAACTTTCTAACCCTCCTTTGCAATTTTTTCCCATCCATCAAGTAAATGACTAAATTACCAGATAAACACATTACATAATTTACTGACTTTGCCTCTAATCACCAGAGGCAAATGTTAATGAAAAACTAATTCATGCCCTAAAGTTTTTATCACTTTGATAATGTGAATATCTACATTTCAATGAATCTCAGTTTCTTTATGATAGTGTCTTTTCCTTTTTCATTTATAAGATATATATTTTTTGATAAACAGATGTAGATCAATGTATTTAAAGAAGCACTAGAAATCTGGATTCACTTGCTATTCAAGTAAGACTTAGCCTTTTGCAGGCACTCTCTCCTTTGCCTCTGTGTCCCTTGTCAACATTTGGAGACAGCTGGTGTGCACTGCCATTTCTTTTCCTTAATAAGCATACTTGTGAGTATTTCAACATTTTCTCATCAACCAAGTGTAAATGTTAAGAGCAGCACTGTTGCTTCAAATCACTGCAGAGTGGCTACGGGTTGCAAGATTTATCTGGGAGGAAATATCAGCAAGTGCTATGACTTGTTGATAATTCTACTAATGTTTTCCTTAAAAAAATATTAAAAGTCATAGGCACAACTTCTACATTTGATTTATGTCTGTTCAAAGTTGCTTATTAAAAATAATCATCATGGTTTATTTGCTCCTTACTTTTGTAACATGTCCTTTTTATAGACAAAAGAATCAATGGCCAGCTCAGAATTAAAAATCAATTTCTAACTTTGTGGTATTGAGATAAGCATCTTCAGAAGATCTTGTGATATTTATTCAAATTATAAATGAATTGAGGTATATTCATTGACTATGAATTGATCAAATCATTTTCTGTCCTTCTAAATTTGCATCATGTCATCTAATAATTATCCATTTATTTTGCATTATGTTTTCACCTTTATGTACATGACAAACAATGACTCTTTACTGGTGGAAATGTTACTGCATTTTGTATAAACAGTAACATTGATGAGATATTCAATGAGTTGACTTTGAAAGGAAGCCATAACTTAGTTTAGATTATGGGTAATAAATTTGAAGGGCTTTTTTAAAAATTGTTGCCAGAGGTAGCATAGTTCTTTTTCAAACCATCTAGTATGGCTATATATGCATTAGCTCAATTTAGCTCATATAGAATTCAGAAATGTTAAAACTGTAAATGTCAGAATTCAACTAAAATTGTTTGATCAAAAGTGGTAAATGAATGTCTCACAGTTCTGGAAAGTTCAAAACTGTGTAGAGAGGTTTTAAGACAAGATAGAGGAGCTCAAACAAGGTCAGACTCTATTTTATTTCCATTTCTGGTCCTTTTTTTTCTGTGTTGGCCCCATCCACAGGCTCTGCAGCATGATTCCTC